TAAATTATAAACAACAAAATGACGACATTCGCATATTTAGATTGCAAAGAAACAAAAGCAAATGTATCAGAGATGACTGATAATCAAAAGCTGCATTAAATGTTTTTATCTGCAATTTTCCCCTTTCAGTGAGTGTTTAACTCACTTAAAACACTGAACTATATAATAAATCAAACTCAAATGTGATAAAAACAACAAAATGACGACATCGATACAATATAGATTGCAGAGAAACAAAAGCAAAGCTATCAGAGATGATGACTAATCTGGGAGTCTGAGGAAGGTGATGTTATCAAGACATATAAGGAAACAATTTCTCCATACTACATTAACATTAAGTCATTTTCATACGCTTTTTGACCTGCACTTTCAATTTCATATTGAACAAAAACTCGATTTTAAATTAACTAAAAACTAAATAACATGCTTCAGAGTGCAGAGAATGAAAAGCAAAAGTATCAGAGATGACTAATAATCCAAAGTAAGAGTTGCTATGAAGAAATGATTAATAATTAAATGTTTTTTCTGCAGTTTTCCCCTTTTGATGAGCGTTTGACTCAGTTAAAACACTAAACTATAAATTAAAATCGAATTAAAATGTAATAAGAACACCAAAATGAAGACATCTGCACATTTTAGATTGCAGAGAAACAAAAGCAATATCAGAGCGGATGACTAATAATGTGACAGTCTGAAGAAGGTGATGTTATCAAGACATTTAAGGAAACAATTTGACCATACTACGTTTACATTTACATTAAGTCATTTGGTGTTTTGTCCAAAGTGACATATTTGAGCTACACTTTAAATTCCACATTGAATAAAACCTCTATTTTTTTTTCCAGAGAAAGCGCTGCTATAAACAACTATAAGATGGTTTAGCATGTTTTGTTATTGACTGACTTGTGCTTGTGCTGTCTGTCGTCTCCTGCTGTCCACAGAGTCTCTGGCTGAACTCGGGGCTGTACCACACCAGCAGCTCCTGCTTGGGCTCCAGCGGCCGCAGGGTGTAGAAGAAGATATCCGGCCCGTTCTGACACGCCACCAGGTTCTGTTCGGCCAGCGAGCGCGCCGGGTTAACGTAACGCATCCAGTTGCTGAGCCGGACATCATAACCGTCAATGAAGTGCTGCAACTGCCCACCACTGTAGATCTGTGTTAGGAGAGACCGAGAAAGAGACACACATTAATGCATTTAAATATCTATATAAATATCTGATGGATTTAATGCCAATAATGCTTGCAATAACAAAACCAAACAAAATCAGAATTATTTAACAATAATAATGCTTAAAACAACTAAACAAAAGTAATTCATAATTATTTAACATAATTAATGCTTAAAATCTAAATTCTTTAACTTTATTAATGCCTAAAATCATAATTATTTAACATTATTAATGCTTAAAATAACAAAACCAAACAAAATTAAAATTATTTAACACCATTAATGCTTAAAATCTGAATTATTTAACATTATTAATGCTTAAAACTACAAAACTAAACTAATTCAGAATTATTTAACATTATTAATGCCTAAAATCAGAATTATTTAACATTATTAATGCTTAAAATCAGAATTATTTAACATTATTAATGCCTAAAATCAGAATTGTTTAACATTATTAATGCTTAAACAACAAAACTAAACAAAATCAGAATTATTTAACATTATTAATGCTTAAAATCAGAATTATTTAACATTATTAATGCTTAAAATCAGAATTATTTAACATTATTAATGCTTAAAACTACAAAACTAAACTAATTCAGAATTATTTAACATTATTAATGCCTAAAATCAGAATTATTTAACATTAATAATGCTTAAAACAACAAAACAAAACTTATTACAATTATTTTACATCATTAAAGCTTAAAATCTAATTTCTTTAACTTCATTAATGCCTAAAATCCTAACTATTTAACATCATTAATGCTTAAAGTCATAATTACTTCAGATTTAACTTTATTAATGCCATAAACAAAACAAAATCCGATTAAAATAGTCATTATAGTTTTAAAAACAAAACAAACCAGAATTATTTCACTTAAAACCCCCAAAACAAACAAATCTCAAAGCAGAACAAATGAATCAGAAATCAATAAATCAGATTGATCACCTCTGCCATGAACAGAACTCCGATATCAACTCCTGAGTGTCTTCTAACCTGTGAAAGTGAGTGTGTGTGAGCGTGTGTGTGAGTGAGTGTGTGTGGCTCGTCCCGCAGAAGACGTGTGACTAACTTTGTATGTCAATGCTGTCAGAGTCTTTATAAAGACATTCAAAACACATGCTGCCAGTCACACGCACAGCCCCGCCCCTGACTCCACCCACTTTCATTATCTGTGTGTATGTGTGTGTGTGGGGGAATTCTCTGCTGCGGCGTGCCAAGACATGTTGGCTGCGCTATCAGACACTCCCTCTCCTGCTACACCCTTACAGACTTAAACACAAACACACTTTCACACACTCACACACATCCGTCCACCTGCCCCGTCACATGACAGGTGCTGCGTCATTTTACTGCTTTATGGCTACAGGAAGTCCGTATGGATTTACAGGAAACAGAGAAAGGAAAGGACAGCTCAGAGAAGGAAAACCCACCGTGACACACACACACAAACACACACACACACGCACACACACAAACAAAACTATCTATATATTTATGTATGTATGCATGTGTGTATATATATGTATACATATTTTTGTGTGTGTGTGTGCTTGTATATATGCATATGTGTGTATAAATGTGTGCATATATGTGTGTGTGTGTATATGTGTGTGTGTCTGTGTATGTGCGCATATGTGAGTGTGTGTGTGTATGTATGTGTGTGCATATATATGTGTGCATATATGTGTGCATATATGTGTGTAATATGTGTGTGTCTATGTGTGAGTGTGTGTACATATGTGTGTACATATACGTGTATAAATGTGTATGTTTGTGTGTGTATATGTGTATATACGCGTGTGTGTCTATGTGTG